TTGTGTTAATGTCTTGATTAAATATCACAATGCAAAATACCCACATGTTAAACAAAAGAATTCCAGCTGGTAAACATGACCTGGATATTTGTAAGAATATATTTAATATATGTATACCCATTATGTTTTCAGGTAACAGTAGGAAAAATGCAACTCAATTTTTTTCTCTTGTTAAGGTACTGTCATTTAAACATAAACTTGGAGTACTTGAAATAGAATTCAGGTTTACAAGATGAAAGCGTGGTAAGAAGTGTCAGATGGCAGTGGAAGCATGTGTGTTTCTAAAGACTAAAAATCTCAATAAAGAAAGCAGGGCTGGGCACAGTGGCTCATGTCTATAATCCCAGCACTCTGGGAGGCTCGGGCGAGCAGATCACTTGAGGCCAGGAGTTCAAGACCAGACTGGCCAACATGGTGAAAGTCCGTCCATACAAAAAATACAAAAATTAACCAGGCGTGGTAGCACGCACCTGTAGTCCCAGCTACTCAGGAGACTGAGGCAGGAGAATTGCTTGATCCTGGGAGGCAGAAGTTGCAGTAAGCTGAGATCGTACCACTGCACTGTAGCCTGTGTGACAGAGTAAGACCCCCATTTCAAACAAAAAACGAAAGAAAAAAGAAAACAGAGCCTGGGCAAGGTGGCTCACACCTGTAATGCCAGCACTTTGGGAGGCCAAGGTGGGACGGATCACCTGAGGTTGGGAGTTCAAGACCAGCCTAACCAACATGGAAAAATCCTGTCTCTACTAAAAATACAAAATTAGTAGGGTGTGGTGGCCCATGCCTGTAATTCCAGCTACTTGGGAGGCTGAGGCAGGAGAATTGCTTGAACCCGGGAGGTGGAGGTGGTGGTGAGCCAAGATTGTGCCATTGCACTGCAGCCTGGGCAACAAGAGCAAAAATCCGTCTCGAGAAAAAAGAAAACTGAAATGGCATGCTTTATCCATCTTACTTAGTGAAAGAGAGCTGCAATTGAAATTGTTTAAAAAGTAGCAGGTATTTGCCAGGCATGGTGGCTCACGCCTGTAATCCTAGCACTTTGGGAGGCCAAGGACGGTGGATCACTTGAGGTGAGGAGTTAGAGACCAGCCTGGCCAACATGGCGAAACCATGTCTCTACTAAAACCACAAAAATTAGCCGGGTGAGTACCTGTAATCCCAGCTACTCAGGAGGCTGAAGCAGGGGAATCACTTGAACCTGGGAGGCGGAGGTTATGGTGAGCCAAGATTGCACCACCATACCCCAGCCTGGGCAACAGATCAAGACTCTGTCTCAATAAATAAAATTAAAAAAAAAAAAAAAAAGTAGCAGGTACAATGAACACTGTCACAAATGTGTTTTTTGTTTTTTTGTTTTGTTTTGTTTTGTTTTTTGAGATGGAGTCTCGCTCTGTTGCCCAGGTTGGAGTGCAGTGATGAGACCTCGGCTCACCACAACCTCCCAGGTTCAAGTGATTCTCCTGCCTCAGCCTCCCAAGTAGCTGGGACTACAGGCATGTAGCACCACGCCCAGCTAATTTTTGTATTTTTAGTAGAGGTGGGGTTTCACCATGTTGGCCAGGCTGGTCTCGAACTCCTGAGCTCAGGTGATCCGCCTGCCTCGGCCTCCCCAAGGGCTGGGATTATAGGCAAAAGCTACCACACCCAGCACAAATGTGTTAATGTGTGAAGTGGTGTGGGTGCTGACTACTTAGTATGAAAAATATGTTCAGGATTGTTTTGATACCTGTATTATAATAAAAAATGTTGGGGGGAAGTTGAATTTCTGTTAAAAGCTGTTCATGTGTGTTATATGTATCAGACATGGTAAATATTTGCTTACAGTCTTTTTTTTTTTTTTTTTTTTTTTTTTGAGACGGAGTCTCGCTCTGTCACCCAGCCTGGAGTGCAGTGGCGCGATCTCGGCTCACTGCAAGCTCCGCCTCCCGGGTTCATGCCATTCTCCTGCCTCAGCCTCCCGAGTAGCTGGGACTACAGGCGCCCGCCACTGCGCCCGGCTAATTTTTTCTATTTTTAGTAGAGACGGGGTTTTACCATGATCTCGATCTCCTGACCTTGTGATCCGCCCGCCTCGGCCTCCCAAAGTGCTGGGATTACAGGCGTGAGCCACCGCGCCCGGCCTACAGTCTTTTTTTTTAAACAAACTACGCACTTAAGGTCAAGTGACATCAACAAAAAAGGGATAGGTATATGGATATATAATTTTGAAAATAAAGTTGGTCTTTTTTTTTTTTTTTGAGATGGAGTCTTGCTCTGTTGCCCAGGCTGGAATGCAGTGGCGTGATCTCAGCTCACTGCAACCTCTGCCTACCAGGCTCAAGCAATCCTCCGTGTATTGTTAGTAGAGATGAGGTTTCACCATGTTGGCCAGGCTGGTCTGGAACTCCTGATCTCAAGTGATCCACCTGCCTTGGCCTCCCAAAGTGCTGAGATTGCAGGTGTGAGGCACAGCGCCCAGCCCAAAGTTAGTCCTAAAATGTAAATAAAATGTGGAATGTGTCATTAAAAAAAAAAACCTTTGAGACACGCTTAATTCCTCTGTTTCTCTTTACCTCACAACCAATCCATCAGCAAACCCTGCCGACCTTCAAAGCATATTTAGAATCTGGCTACTTACCTCTTCCACTACCACCCGCTAGATCCAAACCACCAAACATCGCTTGCCTGGATTACTCAAGAGCCTCCTACTTGGTCTTCCTGCCTCTACACTTGCCCCACTCCCCTTGATCCATTCTCAATACCTTACCCAGAGCAATTCTTTGAAAACATTATATCACGTCACTCCCTTGCTCAAAGTCCTGCAGTGGCTCCTCCATTCCAGAGCCAAGACCAGTGGCCTACAAGGTCTATACAATCCGTGTGCCTCCTTACCCTCCCCAAACGTACTTCTCTTACTTTACCTCCTTTTACTCTCTCCTTCATTCACACACTGGACTCCTTGCTGCTCCATAAGCTCTTTGGACATGTTCCTGCCTTAAGGCCTATGGCACTTGCTGTTCCTTTTCCTGAAACGCTCCTCTCTCAGATATCTGCTTGGCCAACTCCCTCATCTCTTACCGCCTTCAATCCAACTCAACTCAAATACTACCTTTCTGAGGCACAGTCTCACTCTGTCGCCCAGGCTGGAGTGCAGTGGTGTGATCAGGGCTCACTGCAGCCTTGACCTCCTGGGCCCAAGCGGTACTCCCGCCTCAGCCTCCAAAATAGCTGGGACCATAGGCAAACACCACCATGCCCAGCTAATATTTTTTATTTTATATTTTATAGAGACAGTGGTCTACGTTGCCCAAGGTGGTCTTCAACTCCTGGCCTCAAGTGATCCTCTTACTTCAGCCTCCCCAAGGGCTGGGATACAGGCATGAGCTGCTGGGATACAGCCAAATGTTACCTTTTTGATGAAGACTACCCTGATCCAACTACTTAAAATAGTAATAGCTCTACTTTTTTTAAACTTTCCTGGTTTTAGTACCAGAAGTTGCACATCCCACTTAGTCCTGTTGCCTTAGTCCTGAGCAAACCAGGATGTTGGTCACCCTAACTATAATTTTCTAGTTTTACTTTCTGTCTCTTCTCACGACAATATATAAGTTTCACGAGGGCAGGGATCTGTGACTGCTGTCATCACACAGAACAGTGCCTGGTACATAATAGGTGCTCAATATATAGGGCTTACCCACCTGCCCATCACTACCTTAATCAGCCTCTTGCAAGAAGTCACCTAGCAAAGTAGCTAGAAGTAATTACGGGTATCATTTTGAACTCTTCAAATTTAATTCTACTAATATTTGAAACTGTGGCATTATAAAGTATGAGTGAGGCCAGGCGCAGTGGCTCACGCCGGTAATCCCAGCACTTTGGGAGGCCGAGGTGGGCGGATCACAAGGTCAGGAGATCGAGACCATCTTGGCTAACATGGTGAAACTCCATCTCTACTAAAAATACAAAAAATTAGCTGGGCGTGATGGTGGGTGCCTGTAGTCCCAGCTACTCGGGAGGCTGAGGCAGGAGAATGGCATGAACCTGGGAGGCGGAGCTTGCAGTGAGCTGAGACCGCACCACTGCACTCCAGCCTGGGCAACAGAGCGAGACTCCGTCTCCAAAAAAAAAAAAAAGAAAGTATGAGTGATTAAAAAAAAAAAGAGTCACAAAAAATGTCCATATAGGCTGGGCATGGTGGCTCACACCTGTAATCCCAGCACTTTTGGAGGGCAAGGCAGGCAGGTCACAAAGTCAGGAGTTCGAGACCAGCCCGGTCAACACGGTGAAACCCTGTCCCTACTAAAAATACAAAAATTAGCCAGGCGTGGTGGCACATGCCTGTATTTTCCCAGCTACTTGGGGGCTGAGGCAGGAGAATCGCTTGAACCCAGGAGACAGACGTTGCAGTGAGCAGAGATGGTGCCACTGCACTCTTGCCTGAGCAACAGAGCGAGACTCTGTCTCAAAAAAATTTTTTTAAAAATGTCCTGACTGGGCGCGGTGGCTCACGCCTGTAATCCTAGCACTTTGGGAGGCTGAGGTGGGTGGATCACGAGGGTCAGGAGATCGAGACCATCTTGGCCAACATGGTGAAACCCCGTCTCTACTAAAAATACAAAAATTAGCCGGGTGTGGTGGCGTGCACCTGTAGCCCCAGCTACTCGGGAGGCTGAGGCAGGAGAATCGCTTGAACACGGGAGGCAGAGGCTGCAGTGGGCTGAGATCGTGCCACTGCTCTCCAGCCTGGGCAACAGAGCGAGACTCCATCTCAAAAAATAAATAAATAAATAAAAATAAAAATAAATGTCCATATAAAATTTTGAGTTATGCCCTACGTCCATAAGTCAAACCAGGATCTTCTCAAATCACTGTTTCAAAAAATTCTCATGACCCACAATTATAGACTTAAAGTGGCCTAATTTAGAAAGGCACCTTTGACATCCCTATAACTCCTCTACAAAGCAGCGGTTTCCAGTGGACGCCACTAAGACCTGCAGCGAACAGGACAGGCCAAGGCTTACCTCCTGTGTAGAGAAAGGAGCCAGACAGGCCTCCAAAGTAGATGAGAGCCAAGTGTTCCAGTTTCAGAGGGGATAGGCAGTAGAGGCAAGCGGCACAGACGCAGCCCAACGTGTAGAGGAAGACTCCGAACCGGACGACATCCTGGGGCTCCAAGATTCGGTCCACAAGTGTCCTGTCATCACTCTTTTTGTGGTCAATGCCCTTGGAAAAGTCATAGTAAGTGTTGACCAAATTACCGGCCCCGTGCACAGCCAGGACAGCCACGGCACAACCCACCAAGAGCCTGGGATCCAGGACACCGTGGGATCTGTAGGCAAGGGCACTGCCCAGGGCCACCGGTGTGAGTGAGGCACTGAAGCTCCAGGGCCTCAGGGCCAACACGTAGGAGGCGCACTTCTGCCTCCAGGAGCGCTGGGGGAACCTATCTTGCTCGGGACAGTCGTTCCCCAGCGGTTCCCTGTCCGCAGCCTTGACAGTCTCTCCCGACAGGATGTTAATCTTCTCCCCCAGGACCAGAGAGGCCGCCATGGAAGCTCCACGTGGCTGTAGTAAACTCTAAAAGTGAGCCACGCACAGTGACCGCCCGGGAAGGAGGAACGACGGGGCGGGGCAGCCGGGCCTGACCTTCCTTCGGTTCCGCCCCAGGACAGGGCTGGTGTGGCGGCAAGGTCCGGGGGCAGCAGCAAGCGGGTCTTACACCCCAAGAGGTCCAGCGGCGCCGCCCCTACTACCTGTCACCTGGGTGAAGTCTGTCTCCGACCCCCAGCCCAGCGTTAGAGCCCACGGCCGAGCCCCGGCCACCCTTTTCAGGCCGCCAGGCCCGCCATCTTGTGCGCCGGCCTCTGGAGGCGCGCCCGGAAACAAGTGCCAGCGGCGCGTGCCGGACAGAAGGGTGGGCAGGAGGCTGGGAGGGAGCGGGGCCGAGCCAGAGGCGGGGAGAAGGGCGGTGAGGGGTGGGGATTGTGGGGAGCCTGATCAGAGCCGGGGCGGGCGGGGCCGAGTCAGAGGTGGGGAGGGGTCAGAGACGGGGCGGGGTCAGAGGCGGGGAAGGGAGGGGTCAGAGGCGGGGAAGGGAGGGGTCAGAGGCGGGGAGAAGGGCAGTGAGGGGTGGGGCGGGGATGAGGGGCGGGGCCAGACCGGTGGTGGGGCAGGAGGGGGCGGGGATGGGTCGGGGGCGGGGACAGGGCAGGGGCTGGGGCCGGGCGGTGACTCGGGGTCCAGCCCTTTTCCTGCCTGCACTGCGCCCCACAGCTACTTCCAGACTAACTGGAATCAGCCTGTCTTAGCATCCTAAGAACTCGAAGGCGTGTTGCTTTAGGACTTACCGGGTGCACTTTCATTCACGAAGTAGGATTCATTAATTTATTCATGCTGCAAGCATTTATTGAGCGCCTGCTGTGTGCAGACATTCCGACGTCTGCCATATCTGCACTGTGGAAATACTCTATGAAAGTTCTTATCAGCTTTCCATTCAGTGACATCCTTCGGCAGCTTGAAATCTGCCCATGGTGGGAGAGTTTACACCACGCAAGTCAGCAAATGCTTCATAACTGCTAAGTCGTCTAGACTTAAGAAAGTGGCGGAGAAAACACTAACATTACTGGTTAAACTTGAAAGTGTTGGAGGGTGCGGTGGCTCACGCCTGTAATCGCAGCACTTTGGGAGGCCGAGGTGGGCGGATCACTTGATGTCAGGAGTTCAAGACCAGCCTGGCCAACATGGCAAAACCCCGTCTCTACTAAAAATACAAAAATTAGCCTCGTGTGGTGGCGGGTACCTGTAATCCCAGCCACTCGGGAGGCTGAGGCAGGAGAATTGCTTGAACCCGGGAGATGGAGGTTGCAGTGAGCCAAGATCACGCCACTGGACTCCAGCCTGGGTGACAGAGTGAGACTCCATCTCAAAAAAAAAAAAAAAAAATTAGCCGGGTGTGGTGGTACATTCCTGTAATCACAGCTACTCAGGAAGCTAAGGCAGGAGAATCGCTTGAACCCTGGAGGCAGAGGCTGCATTGGGCCAAGATCACCCCACTATACTCCAGCCTGGGCAATAGAGAGAGACTCCATCTCAAAAAAGAAAAAGAGCCGGGCGCGGTGGCTCAAGCCTGTAATCCCAGCACTTTGGGAGGCCGAGACGGGCGGATCACGAGGTCAGGAGATCGAGACCATCCTGGCTAACACGGTGAAACCCCGTCTCTACTAAAAAATACAAAAAACTAGCCGGGCGTGGTGGCGGCGCCTGTAGTCCCAGCTACTCGGGAGGCTGAGGCAAGAGAATGGCCTAAACCCCAGAGGCGGAGCTTGCAGTGAGCTGAGATCCGGCCACTGCACTCCAGCCTGGGCGACAGAGCCAGACTCCGTCCCAAAAAAAAAAAAAAAAGAAAAAGAAAAAAAAGTGTAAGTGAATGCATCAAAACTTTGAGGAAATATTTGTCCAATATTGGCAAATTATAATCCAGTTGAACAAGTAAGTCGCTCGTAGCCTTGACAAACTAGTGAAGTTCTGACGTATCTCTTTTGATTGTTTCACTTTCCTCTTACTCCTAACATAAAATATCAACCAACATTCATGTCTGAACTATGCTCATTGATCAATTGGGACCATAGGGAAGCTACACAACATCAAATAAAACATACTGTGAGAACTGGCTATATGGAGTTCACAATAGAGTCCTGTATATTTTAGTATTTGTAAACTGTATGCTACACATCATTTACATCAGTGAAAGTTATAATACACATGCAACATATATGCACACAGGACTGACTACCTAATTTGTGGTACCCATTGCAAACTAAAGAGGTGGAGCTGGGTGTGGTAATGTGTGCCTGCAGTTCCAGCTACTCAGGAGGCTGAGGTGGGAGGATCGCTTGAGCTCAGGTTAGAGACCAGCCTGGGCAACATAGTGAGATCTCCACTCTAAAAAAAAAAAGACCAGAAGTGGTGGCTCACGCCTGTAATCTCAACACTTTGGGAGGGCAAGGCAGGTGGATCGCTTGAGCCCAGGAGCTCAAGACCAGTCTGGACAACACGGTGAAAATCAAAGAATTAGCCAGGTGTGGGCCAGGCGCAGTGGCTCACGCCTGTAATCCCAGCACTTTGGGAGGCCGAGGCGGGCAGATCATGAGGTCAGGAGATAAGACCATTCTGGCTAACATGGTGAAACCCCATCGCTACTAAAAATACAAAAAAAAATTAGCCGGATGTGGTGGTGGGTGCCTGTAGTCCCAGCTACTTGGGAGGCTGAGGCAAGAGAATGGCATGAACCCGGGAGGCGGAGCTTGCAGTGAGTCGAGATCATGCCACTGCACTCCAGCCTGGGCGACAGAGCGAGATTCTGTCTCAAAAAAAAAAAAAAAAAAAATTAGCCAGGTGTGGCAGTGTGCACCTGTGGTCCCAGCTACTTGGGAGGCTGAGGCGGAAGAATCACCTGAGCCTGGGAAGTTGAGGCTGCAGTGAGTCATGATTGTGCCACTGCACTCCAGCCTGGGCAATAGAGTGAGATCCTATCTCAAAAAAATAAATAAAATAAAATAAGTAAATAAGTGGGACCAGGCCGGGCGCGGTGGCTCACGCCTGTAATTCCAGCACTTTGGGAGGCCAAGGCGGGCAGATGACCCGAGGTCGGGAGTTCAAGACCAGCCTGACCAACATGGAGAAACCCCGTCTCTACTAAAAGTACAAAATTAGCTGGGTGTGGTGGCACATGCCTGTAATCCCAGCTACTCAGGAGACTGAGGCAGGAGAATCGCTTGAACCCAAGAGGTGGAGGTTGCGGTGAGCCGAGATGGTGCCATTGCACCCCAGCCTGGACAATAAGAGCAAAACTCCATCTCAAAAAGTAATTAATTAATTTAAAAAATTAAAAAAAAAAATCACCAGGTGGGGTGGCTCACACCTGTAATCCCAGCGCTTCAGGAGGCTGAGGCAGGTGGATCACCTGAGGTCAGGAGTTCGAGACCAACCTGGCCAACACGGAGAAACCCCCATCTCTACTAAAAATACAAAATTAGCTGGGCATGGTGGCACAAGCCTGTAATCCCAGCTACTTGGGAGGCTGAGGCAGAAGAATCACTTGAACCCGGGAGGCGGAGGTTGCGGTGAGCCGAGATTGCGCCATTGCACTCCAGCCTGAGCAACAAGAGTGAAATTCTGTCTCAAAAAAATAAATAAATAAATAAGTGAGGCCTCTTGTTCAAAATCATTAACAATTGCAAAACAGAGCATGACGTAGCTGTGAAGCTAGCTCTGTATATATCTGCTCTCTCTTACCCCAATCTGGTTGTTAAACATTACAACTTTACCACTCAGCACAAAGCTTTCTATGCTGGCCAAACCCATGAGTCATACAATGTCAAATCAGACAATATATGAGCAGATATATTAAAATCCTGACTCTATCAATTACCAATTACATGTCCCAGTATCTCTGTTCTTTGGCTTACTTATATATAAGGTGGGAACAATATAACCTGCCTCATAGAAATGCTCAGGCATAATAGTAAACAGCATTTATTGACTGTTCACATAAGCCATATATACTTTGTTTGCTTTTGAGACGGTGTCTTGCTCTGTCGCCCAGGCTGGAGTGCAGTGGCGCGATCTCGGCTCACTGCAACCTCCACCTCCCAGGTTCAAGTGATTCTCCTGCCTCAGCCTCCTGAGTAGCTGGGACTACAGGTGCCTGCCACCGCGCCCAGCTAGTTTTTATATTTTTAGTAGAGATAGGGTTTTACCAAGCTGGTCTCAAACTCCTGACCTCAGGTGATCCACCCACCTTGGCCTCCCAAAGTGCTGGGATTATAGGCGTGAGCCACCATGCCCAGCCAAGTACCTCTTTTAGGTACTTTACGTGTGGTGTTAGCGTTTAACCCCCACAATAATGCCTACCAACGAAGGGACTATAATCCTTCAAGTTTTATACATAAGGAAATAGGTACTAAGCATTGCAGCCAAATTTCAGATTCAGTTAGACTCCAAGCTGCTTTTAACAAGTACTCAATAATGTCCACCAAAATCCCTGATACGCTGTAAGTGCTCAATAAATATTAGCTATTATTTTAGTGTAATAAATAAGAAAGTTCTTTGTAGTGGGAGTTGAACAATGAGAACACATGGACACAGGGAGGGGAACATCACACACTGGGACCTGTTGGGGGCTGGGGGGCTGCAGGAGGGATAGCATTAGGAGAAATAACTAATGTAAATGACAAGTTGATGGGTGCAGCAAACCAACATGGCACATGTATACCTATGTAACAAATCTGCACGTTGTGCACATGTACCCTAGAACTTAAAGTATTATAATAAAATAAAAAGACTTGCAAAAATACAATAAAAAAAGAAAGTTCTTTGTAAACAGAAACCTACAAATGCACTAATTTCTGTTGCTCTAAAATCATCTTTGATTATTAATTAGAAAACAGGGCTTTATCATATCTCAGGGTGGCAAAAATCTCCTATATGGCTGATGGAAGTAAAAATTGGTACCTCCCTTATAGAGATCAACTTGACAAGCTTCATCAAAACTGTCTGACCCTGTAATTCCATTTCTGGGAATTTATCTTGATATAGCTGTCAGGGAAGAAAATGATATATGTACAAAGGCATTCATTGCAGCATTTGTAATAGCACAAATTTGGACATAACACAAATGTCCGTTCACAGAGGACTGGAAAATGAACTATGGCACAACCATGTGATGGAACACTATGCAGCTGTAGCAACAACAAAAGGACAAGAAACTCTCTGTGTACCAAGATGGAAATGAAACCGTCCCAACAAACTTTATAAAATTAATCAGGGGCCGGGTGCAGTGGTTCACGCCTGTAATCCCAGCACTTTGGGAGGCCAAGGCAGGCAGATCACTTGAGGTCAGGAGTTCAAGACCAGCCTGGCCAACATGGTGAAACCCCGACTCTACTAAAAATAAAAAAATTAGGTCGGACATGGTGGCT